TGTAAGATCATGACCTGGGCTGCAATCGAGGGTCGGACGCTTAACCGACTGAGCCACCCAGGTGCCCCAACATAGCGACACTTTTAGAATGTTTCACATGTATTAGTTTAGATCTAACTTCTGGCATGATTTTCTCTATTTTACAGGAGGCTAGGCCCCTAGCTTCATCTGTTTCTGAGCGTGAGACAGAAATGGAACTCACGTCTGGCCAGCCCGGCTCCCCAGAACATGCTCGGCGGCTCCACGGGGCCCCTTTCCCGACACACATAACCTGATCTCCCCATCCATTTCCGGCCTCGGCTCATTCTTTCTTTTGATCCCACTTGCTTTGGGTCTTGACATTCTTCGTGGCCACCCCGCAGACCACTGAGGACCATGAGAAGGCAGTGACAAGAACTGGAAGGCGCGTGAGATAGGGGTCCTGGGCTGGGCGGGAACTCGGGTCACGTAGTCTTGAGACTGGAATGCTAACTTTGCAGGGGGTAGGTGGTGAGGGAAGAACTTAGAGAAAACCCTCCCCACCACTACTCAAGGTTGACTCTTGTGATTTCAAGGCGGATGACAGTGACCCGCCTCCTTTCCCACTCTGTGTTTGCGAATCCCACGTAATTGTCTTGAATCATTTATGATAGTTTTATGCAGGCATTAGAGCGTGCTTCCCTGCTCCTTCACACCCAGAGACCCAGCACCTGGAGCCTGGCCTTCACCTCAGCAGTCATGGCCTAGAAGCCAGGGTACGCTGGGCACTGGGGGAAGAGCTTGCTGCAGGGGTCCTGCGCGCTGCGGTGGTGGCTGTGTTTGGCTTCCCAGCCCTCCATCTCAGAAAAAGACAGAACAAGTGTGATGAGCTGTATGTACTCGCCGAACTGTTTATTTGCCATTCGCTAGGGATGATATTGGATTTACAGAAGAAACCGTGGTACAAAGAAAGTAAGGTTCCAGTGGATCCTGGGCAGCGGCAGTCCAGCTGCCCTGCCCAGGCTGGGCATGGGGGACGCTCGCAGCTGAGGGGAGGCGGCCACTTGGACTGTGAGCTATGGGATACCCCCTGCCCCCCGCCCCCCTGCCCAGCACCATCTAGAAACACCTTGGAGAGGGGCTTGTGGGGGTATTCTCTCATACCAGCTCTGGTGTAAACCTCGAGATGGACAGGTTCCTTTCGGGAAAGATTCAATGTGTCAGTACCAGGGAGAAAGAAAGCACACACAACTTTCAGGGATGTTTTGTGAACAGATCTAGTAACTGCTACACAAACAGACACTAGGTGGGGCCTGTTGGAGTCTGACTGTGTTTCCCATTGTTACTTTTTCAACAGATGTGTTTTACTGCCATTTCAATTTGGAAGTTTATTTTTTTCCATTGATTTTTATACATCCAGAATAGCACAAATAACCAACAGTCCTTTTTTTTTTTTTTGCACATTCATTTCCCCTAGAACAAAAAGTGAACTTAAAAAAATTGGAACCATGCTATTAGCTCTTTACAAAAGTGAATAAAAAGTAGCTCGTTTTTAAGTCTAAAATAAACAAAGTAGAAAGAAGCGGGTTTTTTTTTTGTCTACAGTATTTAGCAAACATAAGAAAAAGTCCTTAGGAACACACACAAAAAAAATTGAAAAAAAGTTATTACAGGTATTAACAATATTTTATAATGAAGCTTAAAATCTATTTACATACATAAATACAATTAACTTTGTTGATGCAACTCTTCTGGAAGGAAAAACAAATGCCACCTGATCAGCCTCATCAATACTGATCTGGCTAAAGGGAGGGGAAAAACTCCAAACAGACAAACAAACAAAAACCCCAGATGATTGTATACTGTAGGTAAACAAAAAGGCATTTTGTTCAGATGTAAAAAATGTTTTCTGAGATTATCGTTAAACTGATTTTTCATGTATAAAAGACCCCAGATATGTCATACGCCAGAAAAGAAAAACCACCAAAACCCAAAATCACCAGGACGGAATGTCCTAAGGAAGCAGGTATTTCAGGACAGAAACCTACAATCATAAATTGCAGGACATTTGAGTGAAACCATTCATTTCCTTTCTAATCAGAGCATTTCTGTTTGTCTGCACAGAAACCCGAGGCAGCAGAAAGGCTGTCTATTAATTCACTGATTGTAATTTGTCCAGGAAGGCTTCTGTTGCTGCGTTTGGACAGCAAGCAGGTCCAAGATGGATGGCAATGTTTCTGTTCTGCTGGAAGAAACCCATGAGCAGGAGAGAGGCTGACTCACCATGTCCCTTTATGTAAAGGGAGGAGAACGGCAGCTCCTCGTATTCTGGACATTTGTTGTGGAGTTGGGGGGGGCGGGGGTTGCTATCTCCTTATATAAAGCGAGAGAACGGAGGAGGGAAGGGGAGTGAAACAGAGGGAGCCATCAGGGAGCTATCATTAGGAGGAAAGAAATAAAAGTAAAATAAGAAATACAAGTAATAAAAGAAATATAGCGAGAAAAACCAAAAGGATTAAGATGCATGTCCATGTTGAAATTATAAATAAAGGCACAAATAAGCAGTAGAAATGGCTTCATGTTTCTTCTCTTGGGCCAGTGCTCCTGGATACATCCAGTTATTATGTTATTGGCTTAAGGGTCTCCATGATTAAAGGGACACCTTAATTTACCTGAAGGCAATGAACGCAATTTCTCAGGAGGGGGGAAAAGGCATTAAGTGTGATGTGAGGCCTGTCTCCAGAACAACTAATGCTTGATTTAATTTTGGGGGGAACAATTAAGTACTATGTTTGCTGGTAAGGGTCTGTGAAACTCTGAATGGCCAAACCAGTGGGTCTACAACGAAGTGACAAGCCCTTCTGATACACGCCTTTGAGTGTAAAGATTCAATGAAGGGCATTGTCTGATTTCCCTTCTAGGGCATTAGGCTGGTTTTGAGTTGGAATATCTTCAGGTACCAGAATTGAAGTGAAAAAATAGAATTTTTTTTTCCTTCATTCTCCCTCCCCCCAATTTTGTCAGGTCAGATATGGCCACATGTGCTGAAAAGAACACTTAAATTTGATTTGGGGTAAATGGGCTAAAGGTCCCTTTCAGAAATTAAAAAAAAAAAAAAAACAGCTTACGTTTACTGACATTCAAGGGTAATTTTGCTGCAAAAATGTAATACAGAATAAAATATCAAATTGAGTTGTGGAGAGAGGATTATGGCTAAGCTGAAAATGAATATATTCTGAGTTTCTCCAAGCTCTGGTTTAGCTCCTTTCTAGTTAAGAGTGACCTGACTGACCAGACAAACTGCTTTACTCTTTCTTACCAAAGTGCTACTGCATCTATGTAAAACAAATAATCAATATATATATATATATAAGAAAAACTCAAAAACAAGTTGTTTTAAATAAGACCAGCTGTTTTGCTGCCTGCAGCCAAAGATCTTTCTAATTTGAATCCTTAAATTTATAAAATAAAAATCAAACACTGTTCTGAAGTCCTGCTTTCAAATACTCTTCAGAGTTGACCTGAAATCATTTCAGCTAACGTCAGAGGTACATTAAATAACAACCAGATCATTTTGAGCACACACATGTCAAAATCAGCAGTTAGTATCTAGGAGTTGTACAACAACTGCATTCTGATCAAATTCTCCAATGAAAATAGTGCCATAAAATTTACAGTGACACTGGATACTTTTGAATCGTAGCCATGGGCAGCGATGACATGAATCTTTCCTGTCCTGCTGAGGCACGGAGAAAACTGCACACCCCCCCCCATAAGGTAGGTGAAAGCAGTGCGAAGGTGGGCGGTGAACGAGCAGCGTGTGCTGGAGTCTGGCTTCGGTGGGACACGTGACTCCACCGGGACACACAGGGGACAACTGGCCTGTCCGGGTCTGCTCCTAGGCCCACCCTATGAAAATTCAGCTGGAGACCTGTGGGCATCAAAGGCACCCGGTCTATAGGTCTATAGTTTCTTCCACTCCCAGCCTTGGGGACAGCCACCAAGTTTTGTTCCGCATCAATGGACAAGTACTACATCAAATAGGAATATTTCTTTGGAGCTAAAAAACCTGAACTCTGATTCGGATGATCTCCTTACTACCCCAGAAGGGAGCAGTTAAGGAACCCATAAATCCACTCATTGGCTTCCCATGTGGGTACTGCCCTTCCACATAGCTTACTTTGGATTTGTTCGGTTATAAAGCATGTCTGAAAGAATCAAGAGCCCGTGGAGGGAGCAAACCGCTAGGCAGAAAATAAATCCTCTCCAAGGTGCAATCATTGGCATCTACCTGAACCCTCTGGAACCACATCTGACCTCTGTTCGAAGGGAGGGAGTCAGATACAAGACCCTTCGTTGAGCTTGGCAGAAAATTCCACACTTCAGATCCTTTGAGTGGCCCTCAGTATCTAAAAAGCCGATTAAAAACATTGCTGCATTAGCTACCAACTCGTTTGATTAGCATAAAAGGGAGTTTAATGTAAACAATATTTAGATAACCAAGTCATCACATTGCCTGTCCGGTTTTTCCAGCCTTCTTCAATGTGACACATTTAACTTTGGCTACTATCAAAAACAAAAATGTAGTACTTGATATTTTTCTTCTTAATATAAGTACATTTAAATAATAAAAAAAAGTATCAACACATAAGTAAGTGTCTAAACATCAAGATACATAAATATCTAGGGATTCCTCGCGGGAATACAGTAGTTGAAAATGACCCAAAGCTGTAGCTGTTTCTCAAAAAGAACAACCACACGAAAGTCCAAAAGAAAAGTTAAATAAAACTTACAGAAAAAAGGAATCATATTTCTTTCAATTGTCAAAGCAAGGAAGAAGCAAGCTCAAATTTATATATATAAAAATAAAAACCACCCCAAATGCAAATACGCATTTTGCAATTTATAAGGTGCTGGAAGAGAAAATTAAAAGTATGAATTAGATACCAAAACAAGAGGAGTTGCATTCCCCCCTCCCTCCCCCCGCCCCCAAAACCAAAAATTCCATTCTTTGGAATAGACAACTTGGTTAAAAAGTGAAGTCAAGGCTATAAAATCTTTCTTTTATTCACAGCATCGCTAAATCAGAAGCATTCACAGTTTCCCTCTGGGAATCTTCCTGTTTGCCTTACGACGCGTCCGCGTGGTGGCGAAGCGGACACCCTCCGGGGGTGGGGGGGGGGGTCAGGTCGGGTTCGGAAAAGGGGAGACCGGCGCTCCGCACGGATCCGGGGGGCGGGGGGCCCGGGGTGGGGCCCGGCCGGCGCGGAGCCGGGCGAGACCCCAGGGCCCGGCCCGCGGGGCGCGCCCCCCGCCCCCTCCGCGCAGGCCGGACGTCCGGGGCCACGGCCGGGCCCGGGCGCCCCTCCCGCCGGCCGCCGCAGGGGCCTCAGTAGGGCCGCCACACGGCCTCCTCGAGGCGCGCGGCGGGCGCCATGTTGGTGGGCGAGTTGCTGTGGCTGCCCTCGGCCTCCACCACGTCGCTCTGGTTCGGGAGGCTGGGGTTGAGCAGCGCCGAGCCCGTGGACGCGTTGGTGCAGGGCGGCAGGATGCGCGGCGGCGAGCGCTCGCCGCCCACCATGGAGAACTGGTAGGAGCCGGCCGAGGCGCCGTAGTACAGGTGGTAGGAGGGCGAGCTGGCCTGGAAGGGGCCGCCCTGCGCCTGCGACGAGCCGGGGTAGGGCGGCGGCAGGTACGTGTGGTAGCGCGTGGCCGAGCTCATGGCCGACATGCCGATGCCGATGCCCGACGTGACGGGCGTCGGGGAGTAGGTGAAGGCCCCGGGGTAGTGCATGCGGGGGTCTGAGATGGAGGGCAGCGCGGGGAACTGGCGCGGGTCGCCGAAGGCCGTCAGGTCGGGCGCCGCTGCGGGGGCGGGAGGGAGAAGACAAGCGTGAGGCGCGAGCGGAGGAGGCCCCGCCCCTCCCGCCCGCGGCCCCGCCCACAGGAGTACCCAGAATGCTGCTGCCCAGGGAGCCCGGGGCCTACCCAGCGTGCAAGCGGATAGAGAGGTGGGAGGATGGCCGCGACGGCCGTGCGTAACGCGAGTTCGTGTATAAACGATGTAATATACCATACAGTAATGGGTAGATATAATACGTATAATATGATATCGGTGTAACCACGGGGTCAGCAAACCCACCTTGCAGCTGCCACCAATTTTCGCGTGGCTCACAAGCTAAGAATGAGTTACTTCTCTAAATGGTTGAAAGAAGTGAAAGGAAGAATATTTCCTGATGTGAAAATCCTGTGAAATTCAAATTTCAGTGGCCATACGAAACGTTTCATTGGGATGAACTTTGCCCATCCTTTGATGTGTCAGCAGGGCTGCTGTGGAGCAGAGTTGAGCGGTCGTGACACGGACCCATCGTGGGACCCAGAAAGCTAAAATATCTACCATCTGGCCCTTTACATTAAAAAGTTGGCCGGCCCTCTATCATCACTATATTAATATGCAATATTAATATAAGTGTAATCTGTGATATTAACATAATTATAACAAGATGTAACTTATAAAATCATACAATACTAATGTAATGGAGGCATGAGCTGATAAATATTAATAGAATCTATCCTACATATATGACATTGTGTTATAATATTGATATATATAAATATTGAATAATATTTAGGTTGAATCATAGGAAACTGATGTTTCTGTAGGCCTCAAACAATTAAAAATTGGCAATTTCTTATGATGTGATCTGACGCTTGCCATTGTAGTGACTGAGGGTGAGTGTCAGTAGCACCGTGCTCTTTCTCTGCTACATCTATCTTTAGACTTGTTCCACATTTGTAGAGAAACACAGCCTCGGTTTCACGTGGTTCACTTCACCGGTTCTGTGCCTCACTGCCTTGTTAACACAAACGGCTGTAGGGCCTTGATGTATATACTCCATTTCGCACATGAAGTTTTACCAGGAATGGCAAAGCTTGGTCTATAAAACTCACTTTGTTAGGATTATGCATTTATGGTTTCAGAGACTGGCTTTGGCCTTCATTGCATCCTTCTGCATTTTTCTCAACCACAGGCTGCCCTTGGGAACTACGAGGGGGTCTGGACGCCAGGAAGTGCTGCCTGTGTCCTGTAGATCAGTTTCTCAACAGTTAGCACTATTGACATTTTGGGGCAGACAGTTATTGTTGGGGCGGTGGGGGGCTGTCCTGCGCACTGTGGGATGTTTGGCAGTGTCGTGGCCTCTGCCCACCAAATGTCCGCAGTGCCCCCACACCCCGCGTTGTGACAACTAACAATGTCCCCAGACACTGCCACATGTCCTCGGGGGAGGGGAAGGGGGACAAGGCCCTCCTCTCCCCCCCTGAGAACCACTGTAGATGTAGCATGGTGTCCTGGGTTAATTTCTGTTCCTCAGAATTTTTCATTAAATGACTGGGCCGGGGCCGTAGTCTTTATATCAGCAAACCCAAAAGGCAGCAGAGGCAAGAATTAAACGTTTTAAAATTTGTTAAGCTCTCAAATCAACATATAAAACAACTCCAAGCCCAGGAGGGCATGTGGCCTGTGTCCTTTTGTGTTCGGGCCCATAGAGAAACTTGACAGAGCCAAGAGTTTGCTCTGAAAGGAAAGCTACCAGGGTGGATTAATCTGTTTTTGGAAGGCATCCGGGGTTGATCAGCTTCCTCATATTTCAAGCCTATTACTCCAGCAGGGAGAGCTAGTGTGCGCCTTTCTCCGCCTGTCTCTCTCCCTCTCCTCCTCAAGCTCTCTCCCCCTTCTCCCCCTCCCTTCTCCTCCTTCCCTCTCTGAATGAACTCCTCCATAAATTCGGGGTGAATGTGATTGAGGAGGGTATATGCTCCTCATCAGAGAGGTAATTAAAGTTTATAGAAACAACCCAAGTCTGCAGCCAATCTCTCTGCTAATGAGGAAACCAGGAGTCTGACTTTTAAACAAACACTCCTGTTAATCTTTTCAAAGCGAGGCAGACATGTGGGCCGGGGAAACGTTGTAAACTGACAGAGGTTCTAGAGCTGCCGTTCCATGGCTGCTCTCGAGCCCGTCCTGAAGCCAGGCCGCACCTCATTCCAGAGCATTCGTCCCTGCCCGCGGACTGGGGCCGTCTGTGAGCAAGCTCTGTGTCACTTGTTTTTGCTCACACGGAGACCTGTGACAGGAAGCTTGACTCCATTTTTCCAGTTAATGTCTATAGTCTAGGGAGAATCCAAGGTAGGGGGAAGAGCATTCGGCAAATACAATCAATTCGTTGGCATATGATGCAATAACTCAGGACAGGAGCTAATGGCTCCGCCCATTATTCCTCTTGCTTCATTTGCCCTGAGACAAAAAAGGTGAATCCACTGGAAAAAATGAATGAAAGGTCACCCTGTTTCATGGCGATGTCTGGACATGTTCTGCCAGTGTGTTCCAACTACTACTACGTGGTAAGCTGGTGACGGTACCAAGTTACCGTAATCCCGAGTGAGTCCGCAATTGGTCACGGACGTAAGTCATGGAATGATGTTACGGCCTCAGCTGTCAGGGGAAAAGAGCTCTTTCACGTGTGGCCAGGATAGCTGAAAGCTCTTCGGTACTGTCCGCGATTCTCCTGTCTACACAGTCCCCGGGCCGCTCCACAAGAGGCCATCTATTTGGCCGCTCTGTCTTTTTCCACTCATTCTGATAGTAAGAGAGCTTCGGCCCTCCAGATATGTTCCGATTCAGATGGCCTATTCAAATAACTGGGGCCATTTTTATGTCCGGTCTGACACTTCCTACTGAGCCCCACCGCCATGTGCCACTCACCCCACCGGGCTGTAGCTCATGTGTCCCTTCGGCTGGCCTGGCGCCCCCTTATTCAATGGCGTGTGGGGGTGGGAAGCCCTAATATTCACAGGGAGCTTTTAAGGAGTAGGAAATCTAGGGATTAGGAGGTTCAGGTATTTTCGTTGGAAATGTTTCCCCACCGATGGGGCTAAATATTTGCCATGACAGCTCAAGTGTTCGTTCTGCAGCTTGATGTGGATGAAAGCTGTCCCACTCCGGCCCCTCCCACTGCCCCCAAAGGATTAAACAGCCTGAGCAGATAATGGCTGCCTTAAAAGGATCTTTCGCATGACTCAGATTAATGCGTGCTGTCTGTCGCCCAGGTTGGCAGCTAAACATTAATTTTTTTTTAAAGAAAAAAAATAAAGGAGAACCTGCAGATGACATCTCTTTTCAGACAAGGTGTGGAGACTGTCTGCAACGGAAAAGAGAGGGAGACAAGAAGGCAAGGCCCCCGCCCGCAGAAGGAAGTCCAGGTGGGGCTGGGGGCGGGGGCAGAACTTGGGGCTCAGGGCAGTGTCAGGTTCTCACAGCAGGGAGCCCGGCAGCCACTTTTCTTTTCATGCCTCCCAACCCCCTACTGCCCCCAGGCGTCTGACTACACTCGGCAGGCCTGCGCTCCAGGCTTGATTTCTCCGAGGGAGATCTGCCAAGTTGAAGAGCAGTGTCCCGTGCCCTTCTCTCTGCCACCAGGGGGGTGGGGAAGCTCATCTGGAATTCTCTCTGGCCCTCCCTCCAACACAGGGGAGGAGCAGTCTCGGGGGCTGAACTGGGATGTGGTTTTCGTGTACTTCACACCCTCGTGCCATACAACATCCTTCCCTGCTTGCCGGGTAACTGAGGTCCCGGTTAGCCAGAAGTGTAACAGCGACACGGGACTTGGGAGGGCACATTACTCATTCCTTCAAAAAAAAAAAAAAAAAAGTCACCCTCACATCCGAACACTGGTCAGTCGGAGCGGCTGTCCCCTAGGGCTCTTGAAACCAGAAGGTGCAGATCTTGGGTGCTGACCAAGTCAAAAGTCTTATGTAATAAACTCCAAGGGACCCACAGCGGGCACATTTCCAAGGAAAACAGCAATTGTTTCAGATGTAGAGAGCCAAGCAGCGCCACTGAGAAGAATCAATAAAAGTTGACAAGTGCCTTTGGAATCAAACTGGTCCCGAGGGAACAGAACTTCTAAAACAACAAGCTGGGCAGACGTCATCATTCCTATGCTACTTCCTCAATGCCTCAGCCCCCAGCAGGTGTCCTGAACATACTGGCATTAATAATCAAAAACAATGTAGAGGTGGGCACCCAAGTCGGCTTTCCCATTTCACCACAGTGCCCGAGAATACCTGAAGGCCGGGGTTCCCAACTAAGGGGGCAGTCTGGGACCTCTGGCTATGAGGCAAGGCCTGGAGACATTCTTGGTTGTCTTGATGGGGGTAGGGGTATGGCTGTATCTAGAGATGTTGCTAGAAGTCCTACAGGGCACAGGGCAGCCACCCCCCATGACAAAGAATTCTCTGGCCCCAGTTGTCAGTGGTGCTGCTGTTGAGAAGCTCTGGGAAGAAGCCAAAGCGTTTGGTGAAATTTCACATAATCACAACTATCTGGAAAACACCACATTACACGGCATTTAAAATGGCGGACAGGCCGCCTTTGCCCCTCTGCCTGCCCCCTAATCTACCATAATCGGAGCTCAAGGGCTGGAAAGCAAAACCACCACCCTCTTCCAAACACATACGAAGTACACTTGCAGGCTTCATAAAGCTGAAGTTCTCTGAGGTATTTTCACACTTTGGTCCAGCTTCAATTTCAAAGCTCCAAACAGGGAGTTTCTTCCTTTGCTTTTCACAAAGGAATTTTTCTCTAACTCCGATTTCCCTGCCCATAAGCAAAGGTGAGTGCCAAGCCCAAAGGTCTCATAGGTTACATGACTAATATTTAATGAGCTCGTATTAACAACAATTATGCTAACCACGACACCTGAGCTTTCCATTCTGTTCCTCTAATCTGGTATGAACAACCCTTCATTTGAAATATCTCATGTGGGGTGTAGCCCGGGGACCCCAGTGTGCTGTTCACATGGCCTCTGAAAGCTGGCCACCCACAAGATGGACAGTTCCACCTGACTTCTAGAAGCTGGTTACTTTGGCCTTGTATATTATAAACCCTTCAGCTGCTCCCTTTGTCTGCCAAACGTGAGCAAGCCCCAAAGGCCCACAGAATCCACTTCTGCCTTCGCGTTCATAATCTCTGTCTCAAGGTGTCAGGGAAAATCCGTGCACGGGTATAGGACTTTGACAACCTTGTCTTTAAAGCACATTTTACCTTCCCCCTCGCCCCCCGAAACAACTGCCAGCCCCTTCAGGCATCTCCAGTCTCTCGAACCTTCCACTCTAGCTCAACTTCAAAGAGTGGGTTGGAGCCGCTTACTTGAGAGTCGACTGGAAATCTCTGCAGAGAGCGTTGTCATGCCGCTGGCCCGTCCCGGCGAGATGGGTGTTGCTGGGTGTACGGAAGGCGAGGCGATGGATCCCAGGTATTGATAGGACTGATCATAGGACCAGGGTGGGGACGGCTGGATCTGCCTTGTGTCTGCAGAAGATCAGAGAGGTCAGTCATATGTCGGGGGGGAGAGGGGGGGCGGATTTAAGAAGAGAAATCTTTTAATAACAAAGCTAGTCACCATTGTTTAAGTGCATTATACATGCCTGTGGCCTGTTGACCAGTGTGTGTAGTAAGTCCAAGTATTTGCTTTTGTTTGAGTGTTCTCCTCCTCCTCCCAAAGATACTGAATTACATAGTTTATGTGTGATGCTTGCAGATTTCCCCCTGATAACTGTTCTTTCCAAAAGCTGTACTTGCTCATGCTCATAACCACGGGGGAGGTTGAAGGTGCTTTCCAGGTAGGTGTTCACGCCCCCCTGTTGAACTACAGCACGTATTGGCCGTCCAGACAATTTCAGCTTTACCAGAGTTACAATTCTCATCCTGTGACACATTTTATAAACTCAGATGATCACCTATCCGTCTGTATTCAGTAAGCAAAAAAGAACATAGAGCCTTGATTTTTTTTTTTTTTTTTTTTTGGTTCCTTTGGTAAAAATACTCCAAGGGCTCTTAAAAGTCCTCTGTTGGGGTGCCTGGGTGGCTCAGTCGGTTAAGCGTCCGACTTCAGCTCAGGTCCTGATCTCACCGCTCGTGGGTTCGAGCCCTGCGTGGGGCTCTGTGCCGACAGCTCGGAGCCTGGAGCCTGTTTCAGATTCTGTATCTCTCTCTCTCTCTCTGCCCCTCCCCCGCTCGCACTCTCTCTCTCTCTCTCAAAAATGAATGTGTTAAAAAAATAATAAATAAATAAATAAATAAATAAAAGTTCTCTGGTTAGGCAAATTGTCTCCCAAGGATGACAGAGAAGAAGGTCTGGCTGGGAAGCCGGCGATGCGGCCTGGTGACGAGTTCACAAGCGCAGCAGTAGTGAGCTAGCTCAACCAGCCCAGGCCGACGGGTGCCCTGTATCTTTTCAAGACCTCAAGTTTGCCGCGTTTAAAGGGCAGAATGTTGAGCAAGTATTTTATAGAGGGCCATTAAATGAGGCCTGGGATGGAGAAGAGACAAAACTCTGACTTCAGAAGATTTCGGCAAAAAGGACTTTGTCGATTTGACTCCAGCATTCACAGGAGTCTTAGTTTCAAAAGCATCATACTGTTTGCAGATGAAAAGGAGAAAAAAAGGAACAAACCCTCTCTTCTTAGACCACACGTGTAAGCAAATTTAAATGGCCCGCTGGCCTGCCACAAGATAGCTTTCCATTTTTTCTAGGGCTAAACACTGATTTTCTCTGTGTCCCACCTTCTCTGTGGACCACGCCACTCCCCAGGGACCTCATAGCCAGGGCTGCATGAGGCTGCGAGTCAATCTGGAAAGAGCAACGTTCCTCAGGAAAATACTGGTTGCAAGCTGTGTATGTGCCAGGACATAAAGAACTGAGTTATTTCTACTCATTATAGAACATTCTACTTCCTCAGGGGGCTGTTCATTTCCAACAGTTCAAGTTTGCTGTTTCTGTTGATCTGTTCGAAGCCAGCAAAGCAATGACAGAATCAGGGGTTTGGAGATCCAGGTCTCGCCCCATCTTCTACCTGCCCCATCCCCTTCCCCCCCTCCCACATGGATCCGTTTCTTTCTTTTGTTTAAAATAACTCAATTTTAGGGGCACCCGGGTGACTCAGTCAGTTGAGTATCCCAACTCTTGATTTCAGCTCGGGTCACAATCCCTGGGTTGTGGGATCGAGCCCGGCTTCGGGCTCCATGCTGAGCATGGAGTCTGCTCGGGATTCTCTCCCTCCCTCCCTCTGCCCCTCCCCCTCGCATGCGCTTGTGCTCTCTCTCTAAAAAGTAATAACTCAATTTTTTGAGTTTAAAAAATCTGGGGAAATATTTTAACTTAGACTGTCTGAAATCAATGTTAAAGAAGGGCCTTCATTTCACTCTGAATCTTCGGGAATTTGAGCAGATAAGTAAACCCGTCCATTCTAAACTCCACGGAAATGAATGTTCAACTACAGTCAAAGATCTGCAGTCTTACAGTGCAGATCTAATAACTGTGTTTCTAATAACTGTAAGCAAATAGCAATAGCATGTTGTTTAGAATTCTCATATTACTACAAGCGTTTTCTTCCAAGTGAAGAATAAATTATAGACTCAGATATTTTTGTAAGACATGCATATGTCTTAGATATACACATTTGCTGCGGGAATATGCAGCACTCAAATATTTTAATCATTTCAGAAGCAAACAAAAGAGGTTTTATAATTGTCATAAAGCCCTCCGGGGTGTGAATTGCGGTTCAGTAACTCATGCCTTGCTGTGTAGACAGCCCAGCATCCCTTAACCCCGTGTCTAAAACCACAGTAAGCATAAAGCATTATGCCATGATTCATGCTCTGTCATGTTTTACTGTAGTGAAAAAGTTGTGCTAGGCTTTTCTAAACTCATAATTAAACCATGCAAACGTTGCATAATGTTTCACAGCCTTTTAAAAATATGCTTTGGTAAAATGATCTTTATGATTAAAGTCCAAGTTCTGGGATTGCTTTTTTTTTTTTTTTCTTTTTAAACCCAGGGTTTTAGATTCAACATTCTTACTCCACACACAGCTTAGCTTTCTAGCATTAGAGAACGGATAACACTAAAAACCCAAAGGACCCCCCCTCTGATCAATTTCCATTCATGTGACCAGAGTGAACTGTGTTTGGATTCATTGCCAGCGGTGGGCCAGAAGGTGGTGATGGCGAGCTGCTCCTGCCAGGTTTTTGAGTGTTTTCGAATTCTATGTGTATTACTAATAAAAACCCAAAAGCAAAAAAAAAAAAAAAAAAAAAAAATTAGAACAAAACACTAGGGCCAATGATATGGTATGTGCCGAGCTTACTGCTCAGTTACCACTTCTTGCTCTGATGGGACCAATGTGAACACAAGAAGGCAGTGTGGTGGGCCAGCCCGAGCTCTGGGCTCAGGCGCAGAAGTGGCCTCCACGCCAACCTCTGTGGTGAGCCTGGACCTGTGGCGAGCCTTACACTTCCTCGTGCTCATCTCTGAGAAGACATGATCTCCACGCCCCTTCCAACAGCAGGATTCTAATTCAAATAGGTCCTCTGCACTGTTGCCCTGCTTCCCTTGTACGCCAGTCAGACTTCGGAAAGAATCAGGTGGAAGTGTGGGGTGAGGAATGGTGCTCTTAACAGTAAATATACCTATTCTGGGATGACGGAGTAGGCAGGGAGAAGGTGCAAGTTATCCAGAAAAGACCAGAGGCCGAGGAAGAGAGCCGCTGTCAGTCATTCTCCAGAGAGTAGGGCCACTTGTTCCTGAAGGGAGAGCCTCTGATAAGTCAGTCCATCGAAAAGGACAAACGTTTTTTGAAATTTTGGTGTGTGCCCTGCATGTGCTAACTGAGCTCGGAGTAAAGACTTAAGGCCAACGTAGTCCCCGCCCCACAGGAACTTCCGGTCCGATACCAGTGAAGGTCCCGGGAGTAGATGGCGCTTGGGAAGGTCTCTTCCTATTGCATTAATCGTCGTGTTGAGAGGGTTTCTTTTTTTTTTTATTCATTCACACTAACTGGTTCGTTCATTCATTCATCCATTCATAGGCTAATGGAATTATTCACATCCTCATGGGTTCTTGTTGCCAATGAGCATTTTTGCTTTACTAGGGTCACTGTTTCGGGGACTCAGCAGTGAATGGATTGTGCCTTTAGGGAATCACAGCTAGTGGAGACCTGTGTCCAGGTGAACTGATGGATTATCTGCCTCATCTGGCTTGCAAACAGCCGGTCCCACATCAGAGCTAGCCCTCATGGCGATTATTACACACTTCTGGTCTGCCTCAGAGGAACAGACCAGGGAAAGTGTCTAACAGAAGTCCTAGACTAGATTGCAGTCTGAATTCTGCCTTCATCCTGGGCAAGTCACTTCTTTTCTCTGCTTCATTGTTTTCCCACTTCAAATAGTAGCAGTGAAGAAAAGGTGAGGTAAACTATATATAAAACAAGTAACACAGTTTTTGGCCATATTAATGGTTCAGTTTGTCTGCGTAATTTTTATGATTATATTATGAAAAAGGAAAAGAGGGGCGCCTGGGTGGCTCAATTGGTTCAGTCTCCGATTTTGGCTCAGGTCATGATCTCACCGTTCGTGAGTTTGAGCCCCATGTCGGGCTCTGTGCTGACAGTGAGGAGCCTGCCTGGGATTCTCTTTCTCCCTCTCTCTCTGCCCCTCCCCTGCTTATGCTCTCTCTCTCTCAAAAATAAAAAAAAAATAAAAAAAATAAAAAAAGGGAGGGGAGGTGCACCTGGGTGACTCAGTCAGTCAAGCCTCTGACTCTTGGTTTTGGCTCAGGTCATGATCTTGTGGTTCATGAGGTGGGGAGCCCTGTGTCCGGATCTGTGCTGGCAGTGCAGAGCCTGCTTCAGATTCTCTCTCTTCTATTTCTGCCCCTCTCCTGCCTGAGCTCTCGCTCTCTCCCCCCTTTCTCTCGAGGATAAACAAAAAAATAAAATTTAAAAAGGGAAATAAATCCATGCTAAGGGGTTCATCTGATATATATTGGTAAGGCCATGCACACCTGCTCCAGAGTGAGGCTCAGGTAACACCAATCTGTTCCCTGATAAAGGGCTTGACAGCCAGTCTTCAGCACCAGAGACGAGCTGGGCTCCGAAGGGTAAGTGGTAAAGGGCAAGAAAACTGGAGATCTGAGGGGAGGATAGAAGAGACGGGGATCCAGTGTCAACCAGTTCACGTTTCCAGTGAGAAAACTACTGGAGGGGCACCGGGGTGGCTCAGTCCATTAAGTGTCCGACTCTTGGTTTCAGCTCAGGTCATGATTTCACAGTTTGTGGGTTCGAGCTCCGCATTAGGCTCTGCATCGACAGTGCAGAGCCTGCTTGGGATTCCCTCTGTGTGTGTGTGTGTGTCTCTCTCTCTCCCTCTTTCTCTGCCCTTCCCCTGCTTGTGCTCTCTCTCTCTCTCTCTCTCTCTCTCTCTCTCAAAATAAATAAATACACTTAAAAAAAACTACTGGCTTAGAAAATTTA